AAAAAAGCTAAAATGCATGCCAAATAAAAGCTCGGGTCTCAGGAGGTTAAAATGGGAGAGAAAAAGAGGAAAACTCCTAGCTCAGATGTGTAACTCTCCGTCTGTTCGGGGACAGAAGTGAATGTGGGATGACTGTTTTTTTATAGTGGATTGATAGTGGATTAGTAAACAGAAAGGCTGACGTCATTAACCCTATAATGCCAAATGTATCATATTTGATTCATACGGTTTCTGAAATGTTTTGCGTCTGACACCTTTTGCTTAATTTAATGGTAAAAAACTTTGCTCAAAATCCTATTGTACACAATCAGATATACCTGATAACAGGGGGCAGAAGACTACACAAAAAATAATCTGGACTTATCGCATAGTAATAAATTATTAATATTAAAAAAATATTTCAGTTTTTTCTTTTTACATATTTTGTTAAAAGGCCAAATAAGGAATTCAAACAAAAAATAAGTGAATTTTCTGTTTTGTTTTATTCTTGGATCAGGCTTTAAAGGGTTAAAGTGAGAAAGAACAGTGATGTCAGCACACTTTTCAAAAAAGTGGACGAATCATCTCCAGAAATCATCTCCAATTCCTGCTTTTCTGTCTGTTCGTAAAACTCTAAATTCCATCCTCATATCAACAACTTGCTGCATGTACTAGCACATATAGACTTAGACTTAAACTTATACTTCCTTTATTGTCATTGCACAAAAAACAAGGTGAATTTGACAACAAAATGTCGATTACTTCAGAATCAGAATTAGGTTTATTGCCAAGTAGGTTTACACATACAAGGAATTTGCTTACCAGTGTAACAGCTAAGACCTTATACCTGCACAATAAATATGTATGGTATTCTATTCTATAACTAAGTGCTAAGAGCTAGATATATACAGGGTAAAGAATTATATTTATACATATACAGGACTGTCTCAGAAAATTAGAATATTGTGATAAAATTCTTTATTTTCTGTAATGCAATTAAAAAACATGAAATGTCATACATTCTGGATTCATTACAAATCAACTGAAATATCGCATATTTTATTGTTTTAATATCGCTGATTATGGCTCACAGCTTAAGAAACCCAAATATCCTATCTCAAAATATTAGAATATCGGATTTTTGAGTTTTCTTCAGCTGTACGCCATAATCAGCGATATTAAAACAATAAAAGTCTTGCGATATTTCAGTTGATTTGTAATGAATCCAGAATGTATGACATTTCATGATGTTTAATTGCATTACAGAAAATAAAGAACTTTATCACCATATTCTAATTTTCTGACACAGTCCTGTATATTGCACTGACTTTTTTGCAACGAAACATCAATAAATATGTGTGTGTGTGTGTAGGGGGGGGTACATATGATTACCCATAATCCCCCGACCCTCCGCGACCAGGTGAATACAGACGGGAGTTTTCCCTTTATCGTCCCGTTCGTGTTTCTGTGTGGAAAAGCAGAAACTCTGCAGGTGGAAACCAGGGCAGGCTTAGTGGAGC